CTCTCATGCTGCTTGGCCTGCTGTGTTCATCCAGCTCTACACCTTGTTATCTCAGATTCTCCAGCATCTGCAGTTCCTACTATCTCTGATACAATTTAAACCCTTGTCAGAACATTACCTAGGTCTCAGAATTATTAGTCTAGCCATAGTACCATTAGGCCGTTGCCTCCCCTTATTAACTAGCTAGTTTCCCTGGAAAATAAATATTCTATTGTGTTGCAAAAAATATTTTGAAATGTTCTTACTAGTGCCTGTCCTTTGGTATGAACTGTCTACTGCAGTTGGCTAAGGCCCCTGTGACAGCTCTTTCTAAACCTGTCCCCTCTAACAAGGGCAGCAGATACATTGGAGGACCACCCCCTCCAATTCCCCACCTATCACCGTTCCTTCATTGTCACACGGTCAAAATCCTTGGAACTCCATCCTTATCACAGCACTGTGGCTGTACCTCCATCATACTGATGACAGCAGGAAGGAAGCTCACCGCCCCCAACCCCCCACCCCCCAGTTTCTGAATATCAATTAGTGATGGGCAATAGATGCTAACCTAGGCAGAGTCACCCATATCTAAGAACAAGTTAAAAAAAAGAAGTGAACATGTATTGAAGGGTCTTGCAAACCTGTCGAAACTCAGAACCTTGCAATTTTGACATTTTCCTGCAATTATGTATTTTAACTGGTTTAAGTGGGCGAACCGTGATTTGGGTGAATTGACTCTTGAGATCATGTAAGTGTTTCTTTAGTCAATCCATTTTTCAAACTTCCCAATCTCTGTCACTATTTTGACTGATACCCCTCAGATTGTGCTGATCTAATCAGCAACATTTCGCGGAAACTCAACATCTTCACATAGATTCGTTGAGGAGTTTATCCTTTCAGTGACTCTTCACGTTGTAACTTAAGATGGAGACACACAATCAATGGTTGCAAGAACAGGAAAGCAGCTTTAAATTGGTGAATGTTTGGAGGGAGCTTCACACTCAACGTGACACCGATGCAGTTTAGGAGGAAAGATAAAGGAAGAAAGAGAGAGGAGGTGAGTTAGAAGAGGTTTAGAAAGGCGATTCCAGGGCTTAGGGCCCAGGCAACAAGAGCAACAATTTATATTCCTACAGCTCCTTTAATGGAATAAAACACCTCACGGCATTTCACGGGAACATTATAGAGCAAAGTTTCATGATGAGCCACGGCGACTTTAAGTCAGGTTACCAAAGTCTTTCTCAAAGAGACATGTATTTACAATATTCTTAGGCTTGATGTTGGAGTTGGTTAGCTTAGTTGGCTGGATGGTTGCTCTCTGACACCCAATAGCAGGGCCTCCATTCCTGTATGTGGCTGAGGTTACCATGAAGGCCCATCCTTCTCTTGCCTGAGGAGTGGTGACCCTCAGGTTAAACTCACTGTTGGTCATCTCTCTGATGAAAGAATGGGACTATGGCAGCTTTACCTCTTTAATTTCATTGTGCTGCTAAATTAAAATATTCTCAGTCTTGTTGTGCTGCTAAAGGATACTTACAAAGTCTGCGGAGGTAAGAAAAGGAGATAAGAAACATCCTACTGTAGCTTCATCTTGTCACAAGGCTGTAAGAGAAAACAAAGACATTGTAAACTTCCTGTGAAGATGTAGGTATTTTAGAAAAAAATATGAACTATCCAGCACAGACACACAGCTGAAGTAATGGGATTTATACCTTCTGACCCAGAGGTAGGGACATTATCACTGTGCCAAAAATCTATGATCTCTCAGACTATTTATCCTGTGTCTTGCTAGCATGTCACAGAGTCGAACTTATCCCTTTCTGCTTCTGTTTTGAGGAGGAAAATGAGGCAGAGAAATAGGTGTAGGTGGGGAACTTCAAAGTGTAAACGTGGGCAGCTGGAAGGCTCAGCCTCCAATGGTGGAATGGTCGAAGTTGGGAGCACTTCAGGGGCCAGAGTTGGGAGTAAGTGAGCACAGCGATGATAGGAGACAGGAGTGAGACAGGAATGGTGTGCGTTGTTTGAAGGTGGAAGTAGGCAGTCATGCTAATGGGGTGACTGCAAACACAGAACTGTTAATGGTGGCTCAATGAAATTCAGACTTGAGCAAGGGGCCAGAAATAAATGAAGGCAGATATTGTGGATGATTTAAAGGGTGGAGGAGGTTAAAGGGATACTGAGAGGCAATATCAATGGAAGATTGAAGACATGAATAAGATAGAGCCAGCCAGGAGTCATGTTGGTCCGTTGAGCAAAGGGACATTGAGGAATTCAGGCTTAAAAAGGGTGCGAGACAAGAGGTGGTCAGGAGCAGCAATGGAATAGTCCAGTCCAGAGGTAAGAATGCCCTTACACACTGCACTGTGCATGTTGTGTGAGGGAACTGTGCCATCTCGCGTCCATCTCCTTCCATTGTTGAGGAACATTCATGTACGGTTCTAGAAATAATCTTGGAATCCTCCCCAGTCCAGAGTCTCGGCAGCAGCTGAGCATTAGCAGAAATCTTGAATACAACATGCAAACAGGATGCTCAACAATTTCATTCTAAGTTACGGTAGCAGATTAAATGTACCCCGGATTTAAAAAAAATCCTGTGAAAGATTTAAATGATTTAAATTTGCTGACAGCAATTGTACAGTGTGAATATCATATCAAGGTCTCTCAAAGTTTTTAGTGGAGGCAGAAAACCCTCAGTTTTACTCTTGAAGGGAGTGGAACATGATTCATACAATAACATCTTCAATCTCTGAATCACAGAATTTTTATGGTGCTGAAGGGGACCATTCAGCTCATCGTGCCTATACCAGCTCTGCAAATGAGTATCATTACATAGTGTCAATCTCCTGCATTTTCCCCATACCCTTGCACAATATTTCGATCCAAATAATTATCCAACACTCTCTGCAATGCTTCAATTAAACCTGGCTCCACCATGTTTCCAGGCAGTGCATTCCAGGCTCACTGTGTGAAATAAATGTTTTCTCACACCATCCTTGCCTCTTATGCACAACACTTTAATATTAAGAGATAACAAGGTGTAGAGCTGGATGAACACAGCGGGCCAAGCAGCATCAGAGGAGCAGGAAAACTGATGTTTTGGGTCTGGACCCTTCTTCAGAACCTTTAAAATTAATGTCAGTCCTTAAATCTCCACTCCAGGGGCTTTTAGGGCAAAAATAAGAACTGCTGTATCATTGAAGCGGTCAGCAGCAGAACTTTTGGATAGTTGGAGGATATCAACAGTAGCCCCTCAGGGAGGAGATTTTGCTATTGGCCTGTTTAGAGCATTGAACCCTGGCCTCACAGACAAGGGCAAGGGCACTACAAGGACACCACAAGCACTTTTGCTCCTCAGCTTAGTGTTTTAGGCCCAAGCACCTTCACTTGCTTTATCAATGACCTTCTTTTCATTGTGGGGTCTGAAGTGAGGATGGTTGCATATAATCAAACAATGCACAGCACCATTCATAACTCCTCAGATACTGAAAAGGTCCAAGGCTAAATGAAGCAAGATCTGGACAATTTCAAGGCTTGGGCTGACAGATAGCAAGTGACATTCATGTCACATGACTGCTAGATAATGATCATTTCCACCAAGAGAGAATCAGACCATCACCCTTTGACATTCAATGTAATTGCAATAGCTGAATTGCACACTATCAATACCCTGGGGGCTAACAAAGAACAGAAACTTAACTGGATTAGCTATATAAATGATAGTGTTACAAGAGCAGATCAGAGTCTAGGAATACTGCTGGAAGTAACTCCCCTCCTGGCTCCCCAAAGCCTGTCTACAATCTAAAAGGCACAAGCCAGGAGTGTGATGAAGTAACCCAATGTGCCTGGATGGGTGCAGCTCCAACAACATTCAAGAAGCTTCAGACCATCCAGTACAAAGCAGTCTGCTTGACTGGCACACATCCACAAGCACCCATTCCTTGCACAACCGGTGCTCAGTCACAGCAATGTGTACTATCGACATAATGCACTGCAGATATTTTCCAAGGCTTCCCGGACATCTTCCAAATCCATAACCTCTACAAACTTTTAGGACAAGGGCAGGAGGCACATGGGAACGCTATCCCCTGCAAATTTCCCTCAACACTATCCTGTCTTGGAAATATGTCACCATTCCTTCAGTGTCGTGGAGTTAAAATCCTGGAACTCCCCTCAGTAACAGCATAGTGGGTCTATCTACACCAAATAGACGGTAGCATTTCAGAAGAGCAGTGTACCACTAACTTCTCAAGGGCAAACTAAAGAAGGTGCATTCAATTCTGGCCAACCGGCCACAGCCACATCCCATAAATGAATAATAAAAAGATATTAAAGCTAGGTGCCTATGTGCTCTCTTCATTGGATGCTAAAAAAAATCATGTTGAACCATTTTAAAGATGAGCAAGGGTGCCTTCCCCAGTATCCTGACTAATATCTGGCACTCAATCAACATGACAAAACAGATGACCTGGTCTTCGTCACATTGCTATTTGTGGGAGCTTGCTGTGAACAATTTGGCAGCTACATTTCCAGTGCCACAACAACAACTACACTTCAAATGTACTTCAATGATAAGTGCTTCGGGATGTTATGTGTTAATAATAGGCATTATATATATTCTCAATTCATTCTTTCATAAATTGATTCTTTGGTGGATTATTTGTTACAATTTAAGACACCGCAAGTGGATTATGTACTAGATTTTACACCATCCATGGCAAATATTCTCAAGTTGGTCTAGTTGTTTCAGGTACATTAATTCAAGTGCCAAGAGAATATATGATAGAATCCCTACAGTGCAGAAAGAGGCCATTCGGCCCACTTAGTCCGCAACAAACCTCCAAAGATCATCCCACACAATCACTGTAACCCCACATGAATTTTCTTTTACCATGGCTAACCTACACATCCCTGGACACCATGGGCAATTTTTAACATGGCCAATCCACCTAGCCTGCACATTTTTGGACTGACGGAGGAAGCTGGAGCACCCGGAGGAAACTCACGCAGACACAGAGAGAATATGCAAATTCCACACAAACAGTCACCCAGGGGTGGAATTGAACCAGGGTGTCTGGTGCTGTGAGGGAGCAGAGCTAACCACCAAGCCACGAAAAAAAGTAAGACATTAGGTATGTTGTTTAAACACTTTAAGGGTGATCTAAAATAAATCCAGAAATTGCTGGACCAGCTCAGCAGGTCTGGCAGGATCTCTGGCAAGAAAGCAGAGTTAATGTGTTCTAAAGAAGGGTCACTGGAACTGAAACATTAACTCTGCTTTCTCTCCACAGATGCTGCCAGACAATGCTGAACTTCTCTAGCAATTTCTGGGTTTGTTTCAAATTTCCAGTATCCACAGTTCTTTGATTTTTTTTTAAGTTGAAAGGTGATGTTATTTTAAGAAACTCAATATGCAGATGCACCTATACCTGGATGATAACATGCGACCAGAGACTATAACCATTCTGCAAATAGCACCATGGTCATAGGTTGTGTTTAGAGAACACTGTATAATGTTGGCACTAATGCTGTTGTGGTTTTGCCACATGCCAACTTTAATATATACTGAATAAAATATTGTCAGTGTCATTGCTAAAGACTATCACTTTGAATCATTTCAGAACCAAGAGCGAAAGGGTTAAAGGATTAATTAATTCTGATGACTTAATTCTGAAAGTGTGAATTTAAGAGATTCCATGGCACTATATCTGATGTCTCAGCCAATATTTACTCCTCAAACAACATCAATATAGTTTGCTGGTCATTATCACCTCATCATTCTCGGGAACCTGTTCTGTGCAAATTGATTAATGAATGTTTTACATTGCATCAAAGAGTCTATCTTAAGAAGTTATTTATTGGCCACGGAGTGCCGAAGCTATGGAGCTATACAATGAAGTAATATTCAATGAAATTGTGTCTTTCTCTTTGCAAAACAGGCTTTCAGCAAAAATCAACTTTCCTGTGAGACAGGTCTAGTGGAATTTGCTTTTTCAGGATGGTTTATCTCCCCCTTCCTTATAATTTTAGAAATTTTTTTGTCCTCAGGAATCCAGTTTAAAACTGAATTGTGTTTTGAAAATGCCTTCTTAAAAATTCGTCTTGTATTGCAGCTTGTATTGCAGATGTGAGCTTTTATTGGCCCATATGAAATATTTGGGTCATTGCCTAATATCAGCGCAGTCTGTGTTGTTCGCCAGTAGATGGCAGTCTGAACAGCATCACACCAAACAAAATTTCTCCCTCGCTAGACATCAGTACTTTTACATTAATGAGAACAATGAAACTTTTAACAGAGTGCTCCGCAGTCATCAATCTGAATTCTTTCAATTCCCTTGCCTTGCCTTTTCCTTCCCGAGATGCACATGTGCAATTTTCCTCCGATCCTTTCTAGAAGTCGCATTTGGTTAGGTTTTCACTGATAACAGCCACGTTCTTGTATTTGATTATGCGCCAGTCTAAATGGTGGACAACGACAGGCTGTCAGAATGACGACTGACTATTTGACCATATTGGGATGGTGATAGCTGACTAGTTGGCTATGTAGGATGATAACCCTGGTATAGAGTCTCTCCACAAGATGTACATTCCAAAGGAGTGACTGG